AATGTTAAGCCTAATGTAAATTTTTTAAAATAATAATCATGGCTATTGTATTATTAAAAATTATTTCTTTATTTTGTACAAACAAAATAAATATATTGAAAAATATAAAAACAAAAAAAATTATATTTTAGAAGTTAATCTAGTATCAAAAACGTTTGATTCAGCACAACACAGTCCGACTGGAACGCTTTCAGTTAACCAATGTTTCGGTTGATCAGCATTTGGATAATTGATGCTCTACTGTAAATACATCTTGTTCCTAAATTTCTAATAGAGAATCTGGCAATTCTATTATTTTCTGCTTTTACAAAGAATTACCTGTTATTTTCCACATCAAAATATCATCTTTCAACAAAGACTCTCTCTACCTTAAGGCTTTTCATAAATTTCACAATGATGATCTCTAAAACTTGGCACTAGATCACCAAAATAAAATACTGTATTTGCTATATTGTGTTTCACCTAAGAATGCACTACATCAAACAAACCTCACTATATCAGTATCATTCTGCAACAAACTCTGAATTGTTGGCTTGCTTTGGCCATGTGTTGTTATACATAGAACATTAGAAATGTGCCAACTGTATGAAGTCATTTGTACCACAGTGCAGTCTATCAGTAGTTGTAAATGATAGATGAACATTTCATAAATACAATGCTTAATTGTTATCTTTTTAAAAATGCAGTAATATATATTATAACAGCAATCCAGTTTGTGCATGTATGAGAATTGTTTTTACATTTAACAAATCATTATTTGTTAACTGTTCCTAAAAGTAAGATTGGCAAACTGTTCCTCAAACTCAATTTACTTGTAATATGAATATTACAAGTAAATTGAGTTTGAGGAACAGTTTGCCAATCTTCAAACTTTGCCAATGAAATTAATATATTTTGATAAGAATACTCAAATGCAGTCAGTCTGTTAACAACAGCATTCATTTTCTCATATATTTCATTAGATAAAAGCTTCCAAACAAGACCTCATAGACAAAAGCATACCTTCAATGTTTTCAGCCTTATTGATTTCACAGAAAAATACAACTCTAAACATTGAAATTTAAACATTGGTCCACTAGGTGATCTTTTACATCTATTTCCAGAAGAACAGTCATAAATTAGAATCTCTTGGTGGGTTCTAGTAATCATATTATAGCAATTAAAGTAAAGGTGAGAAAGAAATCATACCAATACAATCAACACTCAATAACACTCCCCATTCTTTATACACAATATTTAGTTGGTTATTAGAAGACGCTTTCTCTTGGTAGTAAACATCTATGTAAGGATTCTTTTTTTATATACAAAAAATAATANAATGAAGGTTATTTTAAATATTACATGCATATTGTTTATATTTTGTATTCGGTTATATTTATATTTCGTATAAACTTTACCATTAGATTGTCTCTCTCTACACTTTACATGTTAGAAAAATATGTAACTTATTTCAATTTTTGTAAATGTGTAATTCTACTTTTAACTTATTAAAAGTTGTAATGAACATCATTTTTCACCAAACTAACACTGAATGTAGCCTATATATTAAATACACAAAAATTTGTAGCACAGCGTTAACACTTGCAAATTCGATGATGTAAACTGTGACACGGATAATACAGTCGACCCCCTATAACACTGTTGATTATTCCGTTTTATATGAATTCCATGTTGTACGAGTCACGTAGATTTTACAAATACGTGAGCCGTTCACAGCCCGGCACACGTATTTGTAAAATCTAAGTGACTCGTACAACATGGAATTCATATAAAACGAAATAGTGTTTTAAGGGGGTTAACTGTACTAATACTCTAATGTTTTTCATTGTATTCATGAAAATAAAATTATTTTCATTGATTGGACAAGTATCATTTGAAAATAGCTCATACTTTTAATTATGACTAAATAAAACTTATTTCAAATAATAAAAACTTTATACTTACAACAACAACTACTGTTGCAGAAGGATGTCTAGCAGTAATTGCTTTTACACAAGCATGAATTCCCTCCAAGATCTGCTCCACGGTATTGTCATGATTGTTAGTGCCAACACCCAAAACTACAATCTGTAAATTAAATTAAAAATTTTTATTATAAACATTGCTAGTGATATACTAATATTATGTGACTAAATATCTTTATTACTTTTTTCTATTTGACAGTTAAATATCAAATTTTACCTACCAATAAATTATAAACAAATTTCTAAACAGAAAATTGTATACATTTACAATTGAAACAAAACTTCTATTATAACATGCTACAAGATCCCCACCTTGATATGGTAAGCAGGCTTGCATGCCTTCTAGATCCTATGAGCTATGTCATGGTAGATTTGCTACTGACAGGGATATCCATACTAAATTCATCAGAGGATAGGAGCCAGACTAAGGTAGAACAACTGGTCCTTCAGGTTGGGGGTTGTGCATGGGGTTAACACCACCACCAAGTAAAAAAGCTTATCTTGTTAAGAGAAGGCAAAAGGAAAGAAAGGCAGGATCTGGGAAGGGTGCCTGATCTCAAGAGTTGTCCCCACCAACCAGGAAATGACAGGACCAGAATAGGCTAATAAGAAGAAAGAAGTATGAATGTCAATTGGGTGTGTGGAATGTAAGAGGAGCAAAATATAAAGTAAATGAATTAATAAGAGAAATTATTGAAAATACAGTGTTCTTTGCATGTGTGAGACAAGAATGAAAGACAAGCAATATATGGATGTGATTGGGAATGTGTTGATTTGGTCTGGTGTGCAAGAGTCAGTGAGCAAATGCAAGAGTAGGTGTTTTACTGAATGCACACATGAAGATGTACATGGAATATAAGCAAGTGAACAAAAGAATGATATAAGTACACTTCAAAATGAAGATGCAGAGTAATTGTTGTCATTGTATAAATCTTAGCAAATACTGTTATGCTGAAAAGGATGAATTTTAAGAAATGTTAAGAGAAGTATTGGATGAGTTTGATCCTCAGGAGCAAGTGATTATAACTTGAAATATCAATGGGTGGTGATTGTAAAAAGATAGACGTCTGAGAGAATGCTGGGTCTATATGATGATTCCCAGATGAATGATAATGAAAAACAATTGGTTGAGATCTATGTCGAAAGAGATCTATGGTTGTCCAACACCATTTTTCCACATAAGACCATTCATCAGTATATAATGAAAAATCATACAAAAGGTCACAGTATAATAGATTTTGTTGTGTTTGATGATAGATTGAGAGGTGTAATGGAAAATATGAGAGGAGCAGACTGTCACTCAGACCATTACTTAGTAGTATCAAGAATACAACTGAAGACTGGATGCCAAAACAAAGGAGAAAACAGTAGCTCTGCAGCAAGTGAAAACAGTGCCTAAAGAATAGAAAAGAAAAGTTTAGAGAGCAAGTTCAGTTGAAACTGGGAAAAGTGGATGAGGAGTTGAATGATGTAAAGGAGGTTTGGAAGCATTTCTAATCTTGTGTGGTAGAAGCAGCAAAAGAGGTATATGGTGTAACAAGAATGGGCCACGAGAGAGGAACTACATGGTAGAATGACAGATTTCAGCAAGAAGTGAAAGAGAAAAATGCTGTATACATGGGCCAAGTGAATAGCAATGTGAGTGAGGATTTGTTCCTCACTCACATTGCTATTCACTTGGCCCATTAATGAGATGATGCTCAATTGATTAAGGAAAGCAAGGACAGAATGAATGAAGAATGGACTAAGAGTTTACAAGGGCAATTTAAGGAAAATAGAAAACTGTTCTGGAAGCAAATGAAGAGTATATGTGTCAACAGGAAGAAAAGTGTATCCTTTTTATGAAGTGCAAATGGTGAGCTACTGTGGAATAAATGTGAAGTGCATAATAAGAGGTGTGAATATTTTGAGACCTGTTCAGGGGCAGTGGGGGTAACATGAATGGAAGAATAGTTGCAGAGATAAATGAAGATGGTGATGAATACGATCCTAGTCAACTCAATGAAGCTAAGAATGCAATAAGAATGAAAAATGGTAAATCTCTTGGTCTGGATGGTGCAATTACAGAAATGTTAAAATAGAAGAAAAAATGTGGAAGAATGGATGGTCTGACTGCACCTTATGCTGGGATAAGGGCATGGTTCTGTGTGATTGGAGAAATTCTGTGATTGTTCCAATATACAAGGAAAAGGGTGAAAGGGCAGACTACAAGTAATTCCATGGCATAAACTTGCAGAGAATATCTGGAAAAGTGTTTGCACAAATGTTGGTTGACCAAGTTGAGAAGCTGACTACAAAGCAATTATGGAAAGTTCAATGTGGATTTATGAAAGGGAAGGGATGTATAAACCAGATCTTCATGTTGTAAATGATTATGGAGAAATGTTTAAATGTAGGTAAAAAAGTGTTTGCAGTGTTTGCTGATCTAGAGCAGGGGTCTTCAACCTGGGTTCTGAGGAATCCTAGGGTTCCCTGGAATGTTGACAAGGGTTCCACATGTGATCATTATTTGCTCAGCCTAAACTCATGTAAAATGGAAATCATGTATACAAGGAATTTTTCATGTAAGAACGGGGTAGTGGACTGTCTTATTAAAATATTACATTAATATAATATTTGACGCTTCTAACTATAGTGTTAATTTTCAGTTTAAAATTAGTGCTGTTCAACTAACTGTTAAGTTAAGTAAAAATAACAATATTAATATAAATTGGATATAAAAAGACAGTTGATTTTAAAAAATAAATAGAGCCTCGAAAACTCGGCACTCGATAACTCGGCACTCCGGATAACTCGGCCACACCCTGGCAGGGCAAAAAAATCCCTAGTTAATTAATTTTCATTATAGACAGCTTTATGCCTCAAAGTATTTTTCTGAGGTCTGTCTTATCAAGTAAATTACTGTACACAGTGTGTTCATTAATTTTCATTTTCATGTAGTAAAGGCTCTATGCCTTCATAAAGGACGTACTTTTCCTTTGTTTAAGGGTATTTGGGCAGTTTATTCTCTGTTGTATTCTCAAGCAAACAATACATATAAGTACAGTACAATATTTTCTGAGGAAACACGTATACTTATCCTTTTTTAACCCCATTCCTGATAACCCGGCATTTTCACAAACTCGACCACCCTTCGGTCCACATTAGGCCAAGTTTTCGAGGCTCTACTGTATAAATAAATATTTTATGGATAAAATAAAATCTTGAAATTCGGTAAAATTCATGTGCTTCAAATACACCAATCAAGATGCATGATGTCACATATTAGTTCTGTTAATCTCATTCTGTCTGTTAAATACAATCACATACAAGCGTACAAGTGAGTATTTATTTGGTTTTTATATCATAATTGATAACTCTTATTATTTATTTACAATTTAATTAGACTACCATAACAATAATGGATATGTGGTTGAAAACTGGTAAGCTTCATTCCACAGATGCGGGAACTAGTTTTGTTACTACTGTTGAAAATGAACCAGATGTTAGTACCAAAAAGTTGTCTGGTGATTCAGATTTACTCATTCATAAAAAGCGGAAGTATAATGAAGAATACATAAAATTTGGTTTTACATGGATTGGTGATGAAAATGAACCAAAAGGGTTATGCACAAAGGGTGAACATGTGATGCACAACAGCAGTTTAAATCCTGCAAAATTGAAAAGACATTTGGAAACAAATCATCCAACTTTACAAAATAAAAATGTTGAGTATTTTAAAAGAAAATGTAATGAGTGGAAGAATAGAAAAAAGACCTTTATGAACTTTTTAAAAATGATAATGATAATGTTTTGGAAGTATCGTATCATGTCAGTTATCGTATTGCTCAACAGGGTGAAGCTTATATGATCGCAGAAAAATTAATTAAGCCATGTGTGAAAGATGTAGTTACTACCATGATTGGGGAAGAACATGCTAAATTAGTTGCTTGTATCCCCCTTTTGGATACTACAATTTCAAGGCATGTTAAAGATATGTCTAATTTTTGTGAAAATGAGCTCATAAGATGTTTGCAAGCTTCTGAACATGGATTTACTATTCAACTTGACGAAACTACAGATATAGCTGGATTAGCGATCTTGCTCGTTATTGTGAGATATATCTATGGAACGGCTGCTCAAAAAGTATGCTAATTTTCAAAAGTCTGCCAACCAGAACAACTGCGGAAGAAATTTTTAATTTGATAGATTCATATTTCAAAACGCAAGATATATCTTAGGATTTATGTCATTAAATATGTACCAATGGAGCCAAGGCAATGCTTGGTAAATTGAACAGCATAGTTGCATGCATGAAACAAAAAAATCCTCATAAGAAGTACTCATTGTTGTCTTCATCAACAAGCTCTTGCAGTGAAGAAAATGCCAGAAAAGCTAAAAGTTGTACTTAATGATTGTGTTAAAATTATAAATTTTATCAAATCAAGGCCATTAAATTCAGGAGTTTTCAATTTATTGTGTGAAAGTATGGGAAGTTTACATAAAACACTACTGTTGCACACAGACATCCATTGGTTATCTCATGGAAAAGTATTAGCAGATTTTGCAAATTAAAAGATAAAATAAGAATTTTCTTATCTGAACATGCACCTCAATTAGTTCACAAATTAAATGATGCAGTTTGGATTCAGAAAATGATATATCTAGCAGATATTTTTATCTATTTAAATGAGCTCAACACATCGCTCCAAGGAACAAATATCAATATTTTCAAGGTACAAAGTAAAATTGATGCTACTCTTTTAAAATTGAAATTTTGGGCAGATTGCATTTTGAAAGGAAATATTGAATGCTTTCCTAATTTGTACAATATTTTATTAGATAGTAATGCTAATTGCGATAAAAATGTAAAAAATAATTTGGTCCAATATTTGTTGGATCTGCAAAAAACATTTCTTGAATATTTTCCTGTTCAAAAAGAAAAATTATCTTGGATTCAAAATCCTTTTCAAGACTGTGACACCTCCGAACTCCCAATAAAAGAAAGAGAACAAAAAATTGATATACTGACCAACACTCAATTGAAACTAAAATTTAATCAAATTGATATTATGCATTTTTGGATTGACATTAGAAATGAATATCCTGAAATTGCCAAAAGAA